ATGAAGCACTAAACTACAGCCCAGTGTCATGACTGTTAGTATGAAAAATCATGGAGAAGATTATCAAAGAGTGGTGGAACACCTAGAAAGGAAGTTCATCAACAGCAGCCAACATGGTTTCAGGGATGGAAACCTGTGTCACAAACCTACGGGAGTTCTATGACATGGGACGGTAAGAAAGAGAGAGGGGGGTGGGTGGATTGCATATTTTTGGGACTGCAAAAGGGCTTTTTAAAATTTCCACACAAGGTTTGGGTAAAAAAAACTGGGGGGCCAAGCAGGGAAAACAGGGGAAGGCACTAAAGGGATCAGGGAATACTTTCAGGAAGACAGCAGCGAGTCATGTAGTGGGAGGTGTCAGAGTGGGCCCTGTGACCAGGGGGGTCCCACAGGGGCAGCCCTAGGCCCAATGTGCTTTTTTGGGTATTTGTGAACGACATGACGGAAGGAATAGACTCTGAGGTGTCCCTGTTTGCAGATGACGTGAAGTTGATGAGAAAATTCACTCGATTAAAACCAGGCAAATAAAAAGGGGATTGGACAGGCTGCAGCCTGGTCCACAATTGGCCCGGGAGTTAAATCCCCCAAGTCAAAGTCTAAAGTTTGGGGAAGGCAAAGAAGACCACAGAGGGAGTACAGTCTAGGGGGCCAGAGACTACAAACCTCATCAGGAAAAAGATCTTGGGGGGTATAACACCAAAACTTCTCCTGAAGCCCCACATCAACCAAATAACTCTGCACAATGGGCGCCTAGCAAACCTCAGAACACATTCCACATCTTAATAAGGAATCGTTCAGGACCCTGTACCCCGTGTACGTTGGCCCTATTGGAGTATGGGGGCACCAGTTTGGAACCCACCCCGCCAAGCAGTAAAAACTGAGAAAGTGCAAAGGGTTTGAACAAACTATTCCAGAGCTAAGACGTATGTCCTACGAGGAGAGGTTAAGGGAAATCAACCTGACGACATGGGGGGACAGGAGGATAGGGGGGACATGATAAAAATAAAAAATCTGAAAGGAAATTGACAAGGTGGACAAAGACAGGATTTCCAGAGATTGGACCAGTAAAAAGGGGGACACAGTTGGAAGCTGAAGACACAGATGACTCAAAGGGGTGTTAGGGGGGTATTTTTTTCGCCACAGAGTATCAGGAAGTGAAGGTTTGGGAAGCGATGTAGTGGGGGCAGGATCCATACATAGCTTTAAGCAAGGTACGATAAAGCCATGGGTTTAGGGAAGGGACCTAGTAGCGACCATGAAGAGGCGGGGGGCCCGGAGCTTGGCTCGACCCCCGCAACTCAACTTTTGATACAACTAGGTGAGTACACACACACACAGCAAGGAATTGATAAGGTGGGCAGAGACAGGATGTTTCAGAGATGGGGCAAAAAAGAAAAGGTCACAATTTGGGAAATTTAAAATCAGATGGTCAAATGGATTTTCAAAGTATTTCTTTGTCATAGAGGTTGTCAGGGAAATCTAATTCTGGCAAGGGGTTTGTGGAGGCAGGAACCATACGTAACTAAGACGAGGTATGATAGCTCATGGAGCAGGGAGAGAGAGGAGCTAGTAGCGATCAGTGAAGAGGCGGGGCCAGGAGCCGAGTCTCGACCCCTGCAACCACAATTAGGTGAATACACACACACACACATATGAATGTGCACAGGTAAGAAGGGAGGCCCAGCAACGATATGAATGACATAGCAGCTAAAGCCAAATCTGACCCGAAGCTGTTGTACATCCACATCAGGAGGAAAACAGCAGTCTAGGACTAGGTAATCATGCTGAGGAGGAAGGAGGAGAGATCACAAGAAACGGCCACAAAGTATGTGAGAAGCTCAACATGAGATTCAGAGTGATCACAGAGGAGACAGAAGGTACTCCAGAAAGACAGAGAGATGGGGTACACCATCAAGTGTTACACACAATACATACAACCGAGGAAGAAGTGAAGAGGCTGCTAAGCGAGCTAGATACCTCAAAGGCAATGGGGCCGGATAACCTCTCTACATGGGTCCTGAGAGATGGAGCAGAGGCGCTATGTGTACCACTAACAACAGTCTTCAATACATCTATCGAAACAGGGCAACTACTTGAGGTATGGAAGACGGCAAATGTAGTCCCAATTTTTAAAATAGAAGACAGACATGAAGCATTAAATACAGACCAGTGTCACTGACATGTATAGTATGCAAAGTCATGGAGAAGATTATCAGGAGAAGAGTGGTGGAGCACCTAGAAAGGAATGAGTTTATCAGTGACAGCCAACATGGTTTCAGGGATGGGAAATCCTGTGTCACAAACCCACTGGAGTTCTATGACAGGGTGACAGCAGTAAGACAAGAGAGAGAGAGGGGGGTGGGTAGATTGCATTTTCTTGGACTGTAAGGTGTTTGACATAATTCCAAACAAGAGATTAGTGCAAAAGCTGGAGGACCAGGCAGGGATAACAGGGAAGAGCACTGCAATGGATCAGGGAATACCTGTCAGGAAGACAACAGCGAGTTATGGTACGTGGCGAGGTGTCAGAGTGGGCGCCTGTTACGAGTGGGGTTCCACAGGGATCAATCCTGGGACTGGTGCTGTTTCTGGTATTTGTGAACGACATGATGGAAGGAATAGACTCTGAAGTGTCCCTGTTTGCAGATGATGTGAAGTTGTTGAGAAGAATCCAATCAGATGAGGACCAGGCAGAACTACATAGGGATCTGGACAGGCTGCTGGCCTGGTCCAGCAACTGGTTCCTGGTGTTCAACCCCACCAAGTGCAAAGTCATGAAGATTTGGGAAGGGCAAAGAAGACTGCAGATGGAGTACAGACTAGGGGGCCAGAGATTACAAACCTCACTCAAGGAAAAGGATCTTAGGGTGAGTATAACACTGGTCACATCTCCTGAGGTGCACATCAACCAAATAACTGCTGCAGCATACAGGTACCTAGCAAACCTAAGAACAGCATTACGACATCTTAATAAGGAATCGTTCAGGACCCTGTACACTGTGTGCGTTAGGCCCATATTGGGGGTATGAAAACCCCGTTTGGAACCCCCCCCCCTAGCCAAGCAATAAGGAAAAATAGAAAAAAATTTTCAAAAGGTTTGCAAAAAAGACTAGTCCAGGGGGATGTCCCCAAGGAAGGTTAAGGAATCGCAAGGGGGGCGAAGGGTTTCCCCGAGATCTGAACAGCAAAAAAGGGCGCAGTTGGAACTTGAAGATTAGATGAAACACAAAGGGTGTTCGGGAAGTATTCTTTCAGCACAGAGTTGTCAGGAATGGATTTGGGAAAGATGTAGAGAGGCGGATCCATACATAGCTTTAAAAAGATTTGAAAAAGCTAGGAGTAGGAAGATGCCCTAGTAGTAGTGGGGCCAGTGAAGAGGGGGCCCAGGCTGTGCCCCAACCCTGAAACCCACAACGGGTGAGTACAACATAAACACAACATTAACAACATACCATATTTGTTTGTTGATGGGGGTCTTCCCAAAGAAGCGTTTTGCTAAAAAATCTGTTGTGTGGTAATGCTAAATATAATTTTTTTTGGGTTTTATGTAGTTGACACAAAAGGCCCCTAAATTCGATTGACCTTTTTACTCAACAGAGCTGCATCTAATTGGTCAAAAAGGTTCCTCTTTATGGGTTACGTAAAAATTTCCTCGACCATTCAAAAGTCATTTCAAGGTGTGTGTGAATTTTCCGCGTTTCCTCTATTTATTGGGAAAAAGGCTTCTTTTACACTGCTACTGTAATTTAGAATTTTAGTTGCTTTCGACTACTCTAACCAGAAAAAACCGAATAGATACATTTTGATTTTGCTATTTTTTTCCCTTTTAAAAAGGTCACTTTGTTAAAAAGGTTTTAACTTTTGGGGAAAAATATAATGCAAAAAAAAATTAATACACTAGGGTTTCTTTTATTTTTTTGGGTTTTATATAATTTTCCTTTAAATTTTTTATTGCCCCAAGAAATTCTTTTGATGAAAGTAAGTGAAGTGCCCTTTTTTACTTTGGGGACACCTAATTGCAATAATTCCCAGGTGCTAGTGTCCCCATGGGTTCAGCTTTCTCTTAAAAATTTAATAATACTGTAATAATAAATTTGCTGTCATGTGTAAAGATAAATGTGTAGTTAACTTGTCTCGGTTTAAAAAATCTTCATAATTAATAATTCTTCACACTTAAAATTCTCTGAACACACACTCTTACTACTATTTTTTTTTTTTTCACTTTCTAACCATATTAGCTCTTGAAAGCCCTTTTGTTAGATTCCTTTTTCACTATGTATATATTGATTTATTTTTCAGTCTTGGACTGCAGCAATAATTAAATCCCAGCTCCATTTCTGGTACTTTGTAAATAGCCTGGTTAACGTTGGAAATTTTTCATCACCTGCAAAACTTTTCTCACTTTCCTCAGTGAAACTTTCATTCATATGGTTTAATTTTTGTTTGTATTGTTAATTGATTCTCTACTCTCTACAGAACTTTTACTTACTGGGTGACTCTTATGTACATGGTTACATGGCATACTACTCTCATTTTCTGTTTTTGAGAGACTTAGATAACTAACTCCTAATATCAAACCATCTTTTCATGTGGAAATTGTGCCAAAGTAAGCTTATGAGATCATATATTTTACATCTGGGTAGGTTACTAGGTGAATTATGTTAATGATGCCCTGACTAACTTTTTAATGGCTAAAGATATGTTAATACTCCTTTCTGCTCTTGTTATTATTTCTGTAGATGTTTCTGAGGTATCACTGATTCCCAGTTAACCTCATGAGGTTTTTCATTGCATATCTTGCTTGTACTGTATTGAGAAGGAATAGTTCAATTTCATAGTCTTACAAAGGATTCAAATGTCATGAATTCTGTTTATTAAACTTTATGAATAATATCTGTATACTCCTACTCTAAAGTTCCCTGTAATGTATATAACCTCAGTTGATGTTGAGAACAGACTAAATTTTTACTTGAGATGAGGTAAAACATGTTGGTCTGTGTTTCTAAGTAATTGATGTCATTAGTATACGAAGAAATATCTAGAGGCTCTTTAGAGTAAGATATACAAAGCACGTGTCACCTCTTGTCTTGGAGTGACTGCAATAGTATTGATCATCCTGGACATTGTTGCACTATCATCTGAATAGCTGAATTAATTTGTGCTTGGGGAAGGGGAAAAATGATAGTTTAATGAATTGTCCTCGGTGAACACAGAAAGTATTGATAAAGTATCTTATTTTTGCCAAATTATACAGCCAATGACCGAGTGCAATTATTCTCTCCCCTCTCTCCTACCCCCTTTTGAACATTCCCCTTCTCATTTCTCTCTACTCCCCCTCCTCCTCATCATTCACCCTCACCCTTGCCAACCTTGCATTTCTGGACCCTCCTGGACCCACGCTTCTCCTCCCCTCTTGCCTTCTTTCACAACACTGCTCCCCTTCCCCTCCTTTCTTGTAATTGTTTCCAACCTTTTCTTCGTTCTCTAACCCACCCCATCCTTCTCCCCTTCCAGCTCACTCTTCCCTCTTTACCCTTTCCTTCCTTTTCCCAGATTGCCCCTTTCTACCTTATCCAGTTTACTTTCATCCCTTTCCTGGCTCATCTCTTTTTCCACTTTCCCCTCCTTCCCACTGCTGGCTCTGCCTTTTCATGTGTTCTCCCTTTTTCTGTTTTCCCCCTTAACTGTGTTCTCCCCTTTTTTGTTTTCTCCCCTTTTCTGTTTTCTCCCCCTTCCTCTTTTCTCTTTACTGTTTACTCCCAACCAGTTTCAATTTTCACTGTTCTTTCCCTAGTTTGCACCCACTCACCACCCCCTAGCCCTCTAACCAATTTCCAACCCCTCCCTCATTCTGATCAGCTCACCTCGTTTTCCCATCCCCCAGATCACCCTATCTCACCTTTATCTGTGTTCACCCCTTTCCTAGTTTACTCCCCATACCACATCCTTCATGGTTCCCCCCCCACTCCCCTTCAGCACAACTCTGATAGTCATCCCTCAGTCACTCTTTACAAACCCACATCTCACAATCACCAATCCTCAAACTCCTCCACAATCACCCTCAACTTCCACTTTCTTCCTTTACCACCACTTCCATTCGCCTCTATCCTTGCTCATATCCACCACTCATTCTCACTTCCACCCCCACCTAAACTCACCATCTCCACTCATCCCCCACCTTCACTCACCCCCTGTCACCTTCCACTCACCCCCCTTACCTTCCACTCACCCCCCTTACCTTCCACTCACCCCCCTTCACCTTCCACTCACCCCTCACCTCCACTCACCACCCCACCTTCCACTCCACCACCCCACCTTCCTCACCTTCACTCACCCCCTCACCCTCACTCACCCCCTCACCTCCACTCTCCCCACTAACCCCCTCACCCTCCATCAATCCCCCACTAACCCCCTCACCCTCCACTCATCCCCCCCACTAACCCCCTCCACCACCCCCCTCCACTCACTCCCCCACTCACCCCCACTAACCCCCTCACCCCCACTAACCCCCTCACCCTCCACTCACCCCCTCACCCTCCACTCACCCCCTCACCCTCCACTCACCCCTCTTACCTTCCACTCACCCCTCTTACCTTCCACTCACCCCTCTTACCTTCCACTCACCCCTCTTACCTTCCACTCACCCCTCTTACCTTCCACTCACCCCTCTTACCTTCCACTCACCCCTCTTACCTTCCACTCACCCCTCTTACCTTCCACTCACCCCTCTTCCCTTCCACTCACCCCTTGCTTTCCACTCACCCCCTTGCTTTCCACTCACCCCCTTGCTTTCCACTCACCCCCTACCCTCCACTCACCCTCCCTCACCCACACTCACCCTCCCTCACCCACCACTCACCCCACATCATCCCTCACCCACTCACCCCCCCTCACCTTCACCACACACCCCCTCATCTTCCACCCCCCCCCACCCACCACTCACCCCCCTTCACCCACAACTCATCCCCCTCACCCACAATTCACCCCCTTCACCTGCCACTCACCCCCACCTTCCACTCACCCCCTCACCCACCCCCCACCTTCCACTCACCCCCTCACCCACCCCCCACCTTCCACTCACCCCCTCACCCACCATCCCCACCTTCCACTCACCCCTCACCCACCTCCCACCTTCCACTCACCCCCATCACCCACCACTCACCCCCATCACTCACCACTCACCCCCATCACTCACCACTCACCCCCATCACTCATCACTCACCCTGATCACTCATCCCACTCACCCACCACTCACTCCCCTAACCTTCACCCCCCCTCACCTTCCACCCACCCCCTCACCTTCCACCCACCCACTCACCCCCTTCACCCTCCACTCACCCTCTCACCCACCACTCACCCCCATCCCCCACCACTCCCCCTCACCTTCCACCACTCCCCCTCACCTTCCACCATCATCACCCCCACTCATCCCCCTTCACCCTCCACTCATCCCCCTTCACCCTCCACTCATCCCCTTCACCCTCCACTCATCCCTTCACCCTCCACTCATCCCCTTCACCCTCATCATCCCCTTCACCCTCACTCACCCCTTAACTCCTTCACCTTCCACTCACCCCCTCACCCTCCACTCACCCCCTCACCCTCCAAAAACCCCTCACCCTCCAAAAAACACCATCCACTCCCTCTCTACCCCCCTTAACTCCTCACACCCCCTCTACCCCCATTCAGTACCACTTACCCCCTTTAACTCCACTCTCTTTACCTAAACTCAACCCCCTCTACCTCCCCTACCCTCTGCTTCCCACCCCCTCTTCTCCTCCCTTTACCTTCATCCCCCTCTACCTCCTCCTCCTCATCTCCTCTACCTCTCCTCATCCTACCTCCTCCCATTCCCTCTACCTCCTTATCCCCTCTACCTCCACTCACCCCATCTTTGCCTCCACTCGCCCCCATCCTACTTACCCCGCATTTCCAATACCCATACTTGCTCCACACATTTCCACTACCAACACTTCCACCCATATCCTGCCTTCACTCACCCCTGCTTCACTGCACTACAACCTCACTCTCACCTCCCACTACCAAAACCTCACTTCCACTCACCCCTGCCTCCACTCCTACCACCTCGCCTCCACTCACCCCACTTCCACATCTCATCACACCACTCACCTCACTTCCTTTCCCCCACTGTCTTATGCCCCCACTACCTCATCATCACTATCTCTTCACACCCTCCCCCACCATTCACCTTGCCTCATTTCAAGACATCCCAGCATTACACCCCTCCCATTTCAATCCCTCCCTAACTTCCCCTTCCCCGATTGCAGTTGATTGCACCCCACCCCCTTTCAGCTTAACCCACACTTCCCTCCCTCTCACTTGATCCCCAATTTTCCCTCCCTTCCCATGCACCCAGTTATAACTTTACCCCTCTACCCTCCCTCTCCCCTTCTGTTCAGACCCCTGCCTTCACCCTCTCCCATCCCCCTTGATGCCAGTTCGTCTTCTCTCCCCACCCTCCCTTCTCACTCATGTTCTGCTCACCCCCCTGACTCATTTATATCCCTCACCCCTCCCAGTGCTTGTGCCTTCCCCCTCCCCTCTTACTTTATCTTCTTTACTTCACTGTCATCCTTACTCTAGCTCGCTCTTTATTCGTATTCATTTTCATTTTTATCCTCGTCCCATACTCCCTTATTGCTGTTGCTTCCTCTCTTCCCCCTTTCTCATCTTGTCTCCTATAGAAGTCGTGCACACCCTTCAGTCACCCTTCCATTCTCCCTCCTAACTGTACTTTTGCCATGCTGGTTCCTTCTCTCTCGCACTCTCTCTCTTTCTCATGCTCGCCTTCATCTCCCTCGTTCTCCCTTAACATCACTCACTCCCCTCTCCCTTCTTACCGTCCCCTTCCCTATCTCCCTAATGATCTCTTCCTTCCCGGCCTTTCCTCTCTCTCTCTCTCCCTTCCTCAATATTCTTCCCCTCTCCCTCCACAAGTTTCCCCCTATCCTCCCCAACTTTTGCCTGCTCTCCCCTCGTCCCCTCCTACTCAACCTTCCCCTTCACCTCCCCAACTTTTCTCTGAACTCCCCTCTTTCCTCCCCCTCCTTTCCCCTTACCCTCACCCTCCGCCTGCTTTTATATTTCAAGTCTGGTTGTGAGAGATTATGATGGTGGCAGAACCTCCAAGTGGTGTTGTTTTAACGCAGGGTCTCCTCTCCTAACCAGATACGACAGCTCACTTTTTCCTCTCCATAATAGGATGTCAGCTTTGTGTAAGCATTTTGCAGCAAATATTTATTTTATGTGATTATGCAGTCAGTTGGAAATATTTTAAAGTTAAAGATGCTTTGTCATTCTATAAATAAAATAATTGTTCATGAAAAGTTCATTTTTGTAAATTTTAGTACTGTAAAGAATGTATAATGAAAGAACTTGAGGCATGCACACCATCTCTTAGTTTCTCTCATTGTAGGGTAGGATATAGGGAGGGTTTCACCTGTCTGTGTGATGACTTATGAGGAAGAATAAATGGCCAAGTACAATAATTAGTCGTGTAGAGTTTTATTGTCTGATGTGACAGGTAAAGGGATGATAGTGGTTGCTGATGTTGGTAGTTGTTGCCTCTGCAATACTCTTGAACTTATTGATTTTCTTCACCTTTGTTAAAGGGATGATTTGAAGTCAGTTATTGTCAGCATCAAGAGTGTTTAGTAATGAACCTGTCAATATTTTTTTTATTTAATGGGAAAATTAATATATAATTTTTATTATTGTTGTTAATGAACAGGTTAATGAACTGCCCACTATATTTTACCCCTTTGATAGTCTATTCGTGCATAATTCTAATTTTATCCTTTTTTGACCATTTGTCTCTCCTTATATTCTTTTTTTATTTTAGTGTATTCGAGTTATTAACACTTTCTATTTAGTTTCAATTAATTTGCATGAATTATTTTAATGGCATGTCCCAGTTTTATGCAGATTTGCATGGCTGTTTTTTTGCTTATCATCAACAGTGCATAAATTCTTTATTTTTTTTATTCCAGAAGTGATGTCAGAAATACTATATTTCTGCAATATTATGCTATGCTACTAGCATGGCTTCCATATTGCTGTGACACTGACCGCTGGGAAAGGCAATGTGATATCGCGTCGATGCTGTTGAAGCTAACGAGGGGCGGGAGGGAAACAGAGAGGGTGGGCCGCTAGATATGAACTAGGGAGGGGAGGAAAGGCAGGGAAGGGTGAGGGGAGCATCAAACAGAGGGGTTACCTCGGTGCTACACTAACCTAGAGAGACCTGTAGGGATCAGTGGTGAAAGTGTTGGTGTTGTGTGCTGGGGTGTGTGTGTGGCCCTGATGGTTGTCCAGTAGAATTGTGTGGGTGGGCCTGACAGCCTCCCTCTATTGCAGGTGTGTAGGCATAAAGGCGCCATGGACTTCACAATGAACATGATCGACAATGGTCGGGGGATACCTGCAACACAGGCTGCTGCAGTGGCTGCCATGGGAGGTCAGGTGACCTACCAGGCACATGCTGTCAGTGTCGCCCCCACAGTCAGCCAGCAACAGCAGCAGCAACCGCCTCCACCACCTCCACAACAGCAGCAACGTGGCAATCTGCATGAGAGCGATGGTGGGGCAGGGTTGGTGGGGGAGGGCAAGGTTCAGGAGCTAACGAAAGATGACTCCCAAGGAGCCTTCACTCCTCCCCCCCGAGTGTCTTCTGTTGCATCACATGAAAGTCGCATGGAAAAGGGTACTGACACCACAGATTTTGAACCACTAATTAAGGTTGAGATTAGGGGGGGTATACCAGGGCTCAACACAGGTGGTGAGAAGGACAAGAACGGTATTGTTCAGTTGCATTTCAACAGTGTCAACGAGGTGTTACATTATTTTTCTCAGCGGTCAGTGCCACAGCACATTGATGCCTTCAATCTTCTTACCAATCCAGACCTGGTGCGTAATATCAACCCTGACCTAGTGCGCAACCACTTCCTCTACGTGCCCAATCCTCAGGAAGGGGTGCGGGTAGCGTCCAACGGTTATAGCTCCGGAGGATCCAACTCAGCCCAAACTCCTCCTGCACAAGGTGGAGCAGCAACGTCGCCTGTGGTGGTCAAACAGGGTTCAGGCAGCAGTGGTGGTTACAGTAAGCAAGGTGATAGGCGCCGAGAATCCAGTCAAGGTTCCCTGACACCTGGCACAATCATTCCCAGACCAGGGGTAGACCAGTCAGGGGCTTCATTTGTATGCTGGATTTGTGGTTTAGATTTACAGAAATCGCTTCAGTTTGAAGAACACATGGTGGACCAACACAGTGTGGACAAACCCTATAGGTGTGATGACTGTGGGGTTACATTCAAACGCAAAGCACACTTGGATCGCCATCGCCGTATCCATCTGCCCACTCGGCCCTATCAGTGTGGTGTGTGTGGCAAAGGCTTCACACGGAATGAACATGTGAGGCGTCACTCGTTTACTCACTCTGGAGAGAAGCCCTACCACTGCCCAACCTGCAACAAGACATTCTCACGGCGGGAACATCTCACCAAACATCTGTTGAGCCACACCAAACCGCCAGGACCCCACAGTCCACCTCCGAGCGGCCATCCTCACACCCCAGGTGAGTATGAGTACTTATGCTCACCTGCGGAATCACCCAACCCTCCTCAGCCACAGCTGGGGGCAGCAACAGTTACAGCTGCAGCCATCACCTCTCTTGGTGGGGCAGGCCAAATTCCGTCCAGTCTTCTGCATGCAGCTGTACCACAATTGCTGCCACCTTCCACTTCCCACAGTAGCATCAAGCACCAGCAGCCTCACCACCGCCTGGCTGCACACCATAGTCAAGGTACCACATATCACCACACTACAGTCACATGATTCATTTCCTAAATCACTACCTATTGTTCTCACATACTGATAATTTGATCTATCCCATGAGGACACTAATCTTAAGATACATAGTATAACTGGTATAACAACACATACCTGTAGAATCAAAGATACTCTAGCATACATATGGATGTAGCATAGACCAAGGTTTACTGTAGAAAATTAAATATAATCTTCCACTTCAGATAATATTTTTATGCATATTAGTTCTCCAACTAACCAAATTAACATACTCAAATATCATGGTCCTGAGCACATGGGCTTACCTCGGAGGAATGAAGAAGGTATGTTTAAAGCTAAGATTCTTAGTCATCATTAATATTCTAATACTGTACTTAACAGTAAAAAAAAAAAAAAAGTAAAATCATTATTTCTTCTAAACAATGACTAAGAGTCTTTCTGGCCAACCTGTTGTTGTTTTTAATGTTAGAGGGTATGATAAAGACATAATGTGTTTGTAATTTCATGAGTTCCATCTGTCAGTTTTTTGCTACTTTAGAATTTCTAATGTGTTTTGACATTCAAGAAATATATACCTAGCTTTATAGATTTCTACATCCTCATAACCTAAATCTTGGTTAATGTAGATTACGTCATTTACATTTAATCTTTTTGGTTATTGTTTTTTTTTTTAACTCCGTTAGCACATTAAATGTATTTAATCTTAGAGTGGAAATTTGGATCAAAATGCTGTGATGCTGCTTTTGGCATGCTGAGTAATCATCGCACAACATAGCTTCAGTGTGTTGTGGATTTAAACGCATTTATTTCACTATTGTCATATTCCCTCTAACATCATTAATGCAAGATTTATACTACAGTACATTATTCAGAGAATTAAAAGCAAGCCTAACCAAGCAAGGTAAGTAAATGCACTTAGTTTCACTTGTTCCAGTATACTATCTAGTGATGTTGCTTTGATTTTTATGCTTAATGGAGTGTTGGTGGCTGTCAACAGAAAATGTTACTTTGTTGTTATTCTTTAAACTGAAATGGTGTAATTCATTGTATCCATTGCATTTGGGTTAACATTCAGTACTTTACTGTGCAGTATTAAAATCACATTTTAGGATTATATGGAAAATACTTCCTAATCAGATTAGAAATACAGTACTGTACTGCACTTGCTAATTATTGGGATTTAAGATACAGTACTGTACATGCTATTTATTTTGACTATAATGCACTAGCTATTTATTAGGGTCATAAATACTATACTGCATTTGCTATTTATATATAATAACCTGGGTTTCTGTGGACAAAAATCTGTAGTCACATAGTCTACCAAATATAAATACCTATCTTTGCCATATTTCATGCTTTATTTATGTAAGAGATGCATTCACTCAAAAACAAATAACTGTGGCATGGTTGCTGCCAATTTTGCTCTTATAGTTGAAAATTAAAACATTGTATTGCACCTTATGCTAATTACTGCATAACAAAAATCACAACTTTAGCTTGCTGTGATGTAAGAAACATATATGAATACTCCTGATTGTATATAGTTTAGAGTTCATAAAGGTTTACATTGACTCAGGTTAGGTAATGCAATGCAATATACAATACCCATATTTTTATTAGGTAAATTATTGTTTGCAATATCATGTTATGTGTATCAGGTGACTTGACAGTGTTGAAATGTGTAGCCAAAAACACATCCAAATAGTTTAGAAAGCTACTGGTGTTCCTTAACTCTGATAATTGCAGGAATTCTTGCATGATTAGTGCAGTGTTTTGAGTTTTCATCTATATTTTTGACTAAGTATATTTTCATTTAATTTTATTTACTTTTAATAGTTTCTTTGTAGTCTGCATGCTTCATTCTTTAAAAAAAATTTCTATCTTCATTTAAGACAAGAATTGGAATCAGTTGTTCATTTTGCATAACATTACTTAGTTGTATTGTGTTTATTCACTAAAAATTACCTGTTAGATAATTCTGTAACTTGTAAACTACAAAGTAAAATTGAGAAGATTTTTGACTAAGCACTTTTCTGCATGTATTATCTATTTATTTTTAATATAATTAAAAAATTTTAGTCAACTTATTTAATTTTGCTTCATGGTTTATCTTTTTTATGTATGTAAGTTAGCTGAAATAATTATTAATTTGTGAGTTATAAAATTATATTTATTTAATTGAAGAATTTTCAACAGTATTTGGATAGCTCAAAAACATGTGAATAATGCCAAAAACAGAAAAAAAATTCCCAATAACATGTCAAAAAAAGTAGGTAGAGTCATAGATTAGGACTTTTCCTATCATACATGACATGTACAGTAGAATAATAATTGCATTTTGAATGTTAAGTACACAAGTACTTTTTTTTTTTATACCTATGCCTGAAACATACTAAGTGGTAATACTACTTTTTCCCAAATAACTGAATATTAAGTGATTTTTTTTTTTTTTTTTAATTTTCAGTAAATTACTTTGACATTTTTGACTGTATAAATACATCATATTATAATTATAGGATGGGTCTATGAAAGATGAGGTGAATCATAGAATTGATGAGGGAAAAAGAGTGAGTGGTGCACTTAGGAGTCTGTGGAGACAAAGAACTTTGTCCTTGGAGGCAAAGAGGGGAATGTATGAGAGTATAGTTTTACCAACGCTCTTATATGGGTGTGAAGCGTGGGTGATGAATGTTGCAGCGAGGAGAAGGCTGAAGGCAGTGGAGATGTCATGTCTGAGGGCAATGTGTGGTGTGAATATAATGCAGAGAATTCGTAGTTTGAAGTTAGGAGGAGGTGCGGGATTACCAAAACTGTTGTCCAGAGGCTGAGGAAGGGTTGTTGAGGTGGTTCGGACATGTAGAGAGAATGGAGCGAAACAGAATGACTTCAAGAGTGTATCAGTCTGTAGTGGAAGGAAGGCGGGGTAGGGGTCGGCCTAGGAAGGGTTGGAGGGAGGGGGTAAAGGAGGTTTTGTGTGCGAGGGCTTGGACTTTCCAGCAGGCATGCGTGAGCGTGTTTGATAGGAGTGAATGGAGACAAATGGTTTTAATACTTGACGTGCTGTTGGAGTGTGAGCAAAGTAACATTTATGAAGGGATTCAGGGAAACCAGCAGGCCGGACTTGAGTTCTGGAGATGGGAAGTACAGTGCCTGCACTCTGAAGGAGGGGTGTTAATGTTGCAGTTTAAAAACTGTAGTGTAAAGCACCCTTCTGGCAAGACAGTGATGGAGTGAATGATGGTGAAAGTTTTTCTTTTTCGGGCCACCCTGCCTTGGTGGGAATCGGCCGGTGTGATAATAAAAAAAAAAAAAAATAGGATTCAGTATTGTGGTTTTTCTTCATGTAAGTAATATTTCTTAAAAAATTTACTTTTGGACATCAAGAGAGCAAATGCATCTTCCATTTGTGGGTTTTTTACTTTCAGAATTGCTCTGAGTGTAGTAGGGATTCTAGTCAGACTCAGATATTTGTATAAATTGACATCCAAAAGTGAACATGCCCCATTGGCATTCCATACACAGCATTACTGTCAGCTTTATCTAAAGAGCAAGTAAAATTTCACGTGATAACTGTTAACATGCATATCTGTCTTCATTGTCAACAAATATCTTTCTTTTACTCCTATGAAAACCTCTTTCCAGTTGCTTTGAAGGTTTCATGAATGCTAAGAGCAGACTGGCTATATACATGATAGTCCCCCCCCCCCCTTTTTTTTTTTTCTTCTCTCTCTCTCAGGGAAGGGGGGTAGATTGGCCAGTCAGAAAGACCGTTCTACACACTTGCCCAATGAGAGATATTTTTATAATTTACTTTAAAAAAAAACTTGATTTTCCAAATACTGACTTATATTATGGTGCCTATAATTGTTTCATCATTTAGCAGATGATATTACCTAATATTTCTTGCTAATTAAGAGTACAGTACTAAACTTAATCATAGAAATAAATTTTATTGATTACATATTTACTTGCACTAATCAGTCCTTTGTTAGTAATTAGTAATGGAATATTGAGAGAAGCTATGCACAGTATTAAGACATAAATCCTTACAAGACAACTAGCTTAAGTTGAATATAATAGGAACATTATGTTTACAGGTTTGGCAACAACGTTGTTGCTACAGACTACAGATCAGAATGGACGACTGGTTACGATTAACCAAGGTACTGGAACTGCAGTACCTACTTCAGTGGTGACAACATCATCTAGTAGCCATCATGGTCAAGGTAACAGTAGTCACACAGGCAGTTCTGGAGGATCCACCCGTGGTCTTAATCATAATGGTGAGCCTGTTCCACGTCCTTACCAGTGTGGAGTTTGTGGAAAGTCTTTCATCCGTAATGAGCATCTTCGACGTCATGTGCTGACCCACTCTGGCGAAAAACCTCACGCGTGTGGAACATGTGGCAAGGCTTTCTCACGCCGTGAACATCTAACTAAACATATGAGGTCTCATATAAAGGTAGCAACACCAGGCTCAGTCCAGTCCAGCTCCCAGCCCACCCATGGTTCCATCCAAATAGGTGGTATATCAGGCAGTGTGGCTACACCCCAACCCACCCCAACTGTGGCACAAACTGCCACTGTGTCATTACCAACTCCTAGTGTAGTGGCAACAAGTAATGCCCATCAACAACCCCCACCACATGGAGTGACACATACTGTTGCAGGTTCCCATGGTACACCTGTTGCCCATGCTGCACACCTACCCCCTGGAACTCATTATTTGCCAATGTTTGGATTGTTGGCAGAGGTAGTGTGAGAACCTCACTGGCACAATCTCACAATCGGCAGCCTCTTAATTTACAGATGTCGGCAGCACATCCCTTGCTCCACGTGATGATTACCATGCAATACAGATAATTCTTATCTATATCCAACTACCCATACCTGATACGGTGCTTGGCCAGATCCTGGTGGGGCTGGGGCAAGTGTGGTGCTGAATGATGCAAGCTGTAGATAATGTTGTGCCATGATCTCCCCGTAGCTGTGAGCACTAGATTTTTTCTCTGTTGTTGCTAGTTTGTTGGTGAGCAGGGCTATGCCTCACTCATCCACTAGGTATATGTCAGTCACCCTTGTGTGGACCCTTGTCTGACCCTTGATCACATTCCAATCCCTTCTAGTTGTCTCTTTGGCTACAGTATAAAATAAGGGGAAATTATTGTTGTGAACAACTGAAAGATTTTATGATTAATATTTAAAATTTGCATTAAAGCTGTATGCAATTCTATGTACTTAGAGTTTGTAAAAATTGGATTTTTTTTTGAGAGAGAGAGAATTTTGGAAGTGATTAATGCACCCTGCCAAAGTTTGATAGTTGGATTACTAGGGACAGCCATTACCCCAAAGTGTCAAGGCAGCTCGCAACATGGAGACCACAGACAAGGCACCAAGTGTTTTGTTGTTCTCTGTTTCCATGTAAATTTTTTTTTTTTTTTTTTACATGGAGTTCATATTTTGAAACAAACTTTGTCTGTGTGCATAGACCATGTTGATGTATTGTAGTGTAACTTGTAAAGAAGTACCTTTTAATTGTAAAGCGATATCCCTATAATTATTTTTAGGCGCTTTCTTCATAAGCTTATTGTAGATGTCTTAAAGGTAGTGTTTTATAATAGAGAAATGCTTTGTCAGTTTTATTTTTTTTGTTTGTTTTTTGAGCCACACAAAGCAGATTTAAGAGATTATTTTGATGTCCAAAGTTATCAGTCCTACTCCTACATTAGTCCAGAGGAAACCTAATAGTGTCAGTTTCATGACATGATTTTTTTATTATTATTAGCCTTAGTTTTCATAGAATTAGATCCTTGGCAGATTTGACAGACTGCATGTTATCCTGCCAGAAGTCTTGAAATGGTTACTTTGTCTAAAGGTGCTCAAATAGATGATAACTTTGGATTTGCTTATTTTAAATCATATTTAATATTAAAAGAGATCTGAATTTTAATCCCTCAGTGAGAGGTCAAGTTAATGGCAATCACAAACCAGTTGTTTTAACAGTCTGACATTGCAAGATGTTTTATTTTTCCTGATGTCTAGATGTTTTGAATCTTTGATACTTTGAGCTTTTTGCATATTTATCTTTATGGCAATTTGCCATTAAATGTGGATTTTGATTCACGTAAACTTTTTTTAATAGGTTTTTGGTCTTGCCTGCAGTGATCCATGAATTACCCAGCCTGTAGATTTGCTATTGCCAGCATTTTGTGTTTGGTTCCATTATAACTACATTATAATGTACATGATGGAAGGGGCATTCATGAATGATTGCAAAAAATCTTTGGATTTCTTTTTTTCAGAGCACAGGCAGATCTAGTAGAAATTATGGTTGCCTAAAACACATGGTGTCTTACGATCAGTAGGTATACCAGGACAAATTTTTTTGAAGATGCCGACATTTAACCTATTTGCATAATACAGTATTTGGTAACTGATTGCTAACTACATGTTATGCAAGTGTCAGTGAATGAGAAATTTTAATGCTGGATTATTTTTCTTTTGAACTTCGTATAAATAAGCAATTGGACCTTGCTTCAAGCCTTTGTTACTTGTTGACGTAATATATTTTCCAGATTAAAAGTTCATACCAGAAGTTAGTGTGCGTTACAAATCTGAGAACTGCCTCTCTTTGCCTTTATTGTAGTCCCAAACCATATGTCAGAAGGTGACACTCATATGATTTTTAACAAGTTTATTTCCTTTTATAATGCCTTCAGATACTTATGTAATATTGCTCTATACTAAGGATTCCCATTTTTCATGGGAGAAAATTAATATAAAGCAAGGTCCATGTGTACAATCCACATTGTACACAGAAATAATTTTTTATTTCTTGACATTTTAAGAAAAATTTTAAGATCAGATGAACTGTTAGGTGCTGTGGTGGCTGTGTGCTGCCTTCAATTGCTGATGTCCACTGTATGTAATGTAGTTGGTGTGTTCAGCATCTGTTACCTTTACAATGATCTAAAGAGCTGTGTGTTCGTAGTTATTCAAGAAACGCCTAAGGGGAGTCTGCTGCTTAAATCCTAAAATGGTAAACTTCATTGGTAGTCATGCTTTAAACATTTCGGCAGATATGACTCAAAATTATAAAACATTTGCATCGTATGCCAAGTCAGTAAATCATATCATTAATTAAATTCAAAGTGAAATTTTCTTTCAAAACTTTTACTCTGCTATTTTGCATGCTTGATTGCATTGGTGAAGTTTGCCATGTTCTCCAGTGATATCATGTTTATCCTTGTTAGTGATCAGTCGCCACATATTCCAAAGTGCGTGTTAGTTGCCAGATATTTTCTTTTGTTTTTGCTTCCCATTGTCAACCATCCTCCTCATGGGGTTTCTTGAATGCATAATTTTTACTTAAAATTTGTGAGAGTACAAATTTTTTGACCAAGTCATTAAATGTGTCATTTGCCTGGTCTGGACTGTTCTCTGAAGTTTACTGGAAATACTCAGTCTGATATAAATTTATAACCATGGGTATGAGGGTCATCCTATTTTGCTGTTTTCCATTGCTGCATATTAGTTTTCAATAAATTGCTTATTGAATCTTATTTATATCTTAATAGCTAAGAGTATTGCTTTCTTAACTTCTTTTACCACTATCAAAATTTTAATATATTGTAAGGGCTCTTTTTGAGTTATTACAAGATCTTCACGAGAGTTAACAGTCCATAAGTAAATCCCTCCAGAAGTGTGACAAGGTCAGGGATTTGGGGGCCCCTGGCATTGCTGTAGTTTAGTTTTCTTTTTGCCTTTGTCATGATTTTTTATTGTAGGTGGGTGAAGGGGGAATGCAGTTTCTGTAGATGTGTTAAATGTATTCATATATTTATGTTAGGATGTGAAAGGTCTGTACTTTTCCATAACTGCAAAATATGAACTGTGTGAAAGTGTTTTGAATATATATGTATATATATATATATTATGTATTTTCAAAAATAAAAATGTACAGTGCTACATATTAGATATTTGTTGGATAATTACAAAAGTGTTTGAGGCTCTTGATCCCTGATTCTGTTACACAATGACTTCAGCCTTGAAGTATTGACCAACAGTGTTAAGTTTGGGTAGGAAATAATAAAGCAAAGACAACATAAAAGCAAATATAATTGTATTGCATTAAAAAATTTAAAATAAAACAGAGGAAGTGGCTCGTCTGTGTTGTTTTACCTGAGACGCATATCTGCATATAAGACAAGTATGTGAAGTGCTACCTTTGCACGTCTTTCAGTGTTGGAAAACATTTTGATGTCTGACATTCCACTTTTCACCCACTAGAGGAAAGGAACTTGCTACAGAAAAAAAATTGTTACCCATTTTAGAGAAGAGCTTGAGCACTGGAATGCTAAGATGAACTAAAACCTTAAAAATATGAATGATCAAATTAGTAAAATTTAGTTCTAGTTGAACCATCCGTGACTAATAACCACAAAAAATTCTTCTATGAATATTTTCGAATGCTTTTATGTTCATTATACAAAATCAGAGATTATATTATTGCTGAATTTTCCGTACATTGAATTTATTGCAATAAGTGATTGACGACCTACAGAACTTAGAGTAGGTCTGATAACTGTTACTTGGACAATGTTATTTATACTGTGCAATCCCTTTAATAAGGGATGGCTATTGAAGAGATTAGGCTCAATTGATAGACTGGAAGGAATACTAGGAAATGGGTTAAGTTAAGCATTGGGATTGGCTTAAAATAGAACTCAAAGTGGGTGAAATCTCCAATATGGAATTTGTGCCCAGACCACCAACTTTTCACCTATGTAATTCTGCAAGTTTCCATCAAATTTTGCTAATTTGGTGTCATTACTATCTGAAGAAGATTGTCTTATTTCAGATCAATATTTTAAATGCAATACTGTCACCACTTAAGAACATAAGAACATAAGAAAGGAGGAACACTGCAGCAGGCCTGTTGGCCCATACTAGGCAGGTCCTTTACAATTCATCCCACTAACAAACATTTGACCTACCCAATTTTCAATGCTACCCAAGAAATAAGCTCTGATGTGCAAGTCCCACTTAAATCCAACCCATCCCACTCATGTATTTATCCAACCTAAATTTGAAACTACCCAAAGTCCTAGCCTCAATAACCCAACTAGGTAGACTGTTCCACTCATCTACTACCCTATTTCCAAACCAATACTTTCCTATGTCCTTTCTAAATCTAAACTTATCTAATTTAAATCCATTACTGCGGGTTCTCTCTTGGAGAGATATTCTCAAGACCTTGTTAATATCCCCTTTATTAATACCTATCTTAATTTTAGGGTTGCAACAGTGAAAGGGTTCATTCCTCTCATGCCCCACGAAGTGTATAATCAACATAGTTTCAATACTTTCCCATGAATATAATTTACTAGGCAATAAAATCCAAAATTCCAAAGCAAATTTACAACTGTAACCCCGTGTAATACTCTGTGACCCCTATAAGGGTCTGATAAGTGCCTGGGTAATTGATTGCATCCAATTCTTCAGTTCAACAGCCCTTCATCAGTGTTAAGGAACCCTCTTGAATAATACAAACTTAGTATATTCCATTTAAGATTAACACTAGAAGCAGTTACTCTGGTATTGAGGATAACAGTTTTTTTTCATTACACTACTATTAAATAACTGCATTTAGTAGTTCCAATTGGTAGCTTATGAGTAATGACTAAATTTTTTTATAATTTTAATTTACTGTTCTCTACCAAGGAATAAACACTTCTGTTTTGGGTTGTTTGCCAATAATGTACTGGTGAACTGATTTATTAATCATAGATATAATTTATAATAGTTTGAGCATAACTGATCAATATTATTATTATTATAATCAAAAAGAAGCGCTGAGCCACAAGGGCTATACAGCGTGATCAATAACTGTAAGAAACTCCAACTATTAAAACAAGTGATCCTCAAATTTTTTAAACAATTATTTTTAGCTGTTTTTACCTGGAATTACACTGACACTTCACCTTAACTGGAAATATATTTTGAACAATCTTTACTGGGGCTTACACTAAGTAGTAGTAGTAGTAGTATCAGCCCCACTTTATATTTTTTTATATTAAAGCCAATATCCAAATAATATAATCAGTTTAAGAATGCATGACCACTACAGTTTGTAAAACAAAATAATCTGCCTAGTATCTTGTGGCTCAGCCTCAAAGGGGTTGCAGTATTATAATTATAATAAATATAATTATAACTAAACCCTTAAGGGTCCAAGGGAGTTACATTATCTGCAAAACAGGCAAGTGTTACCACTTACATGGATGGCACCACATTCACAAGGTGTAGCAGTTTACTGATAACCACATTATTATTAATTTTACATTTATGGTTTAGTACTAAACCTGTAGGGGTCATACAGTACCTGAGGGAAGGATGGACAATCAGGGTTGATTCAACAATGCATAGGTCAGGTTCAATTCCTGAGGTCAAAAGCCACTTACCTTTACTGTCTTAAGCAAACTTCCTTGAGAGTATGGTACATCACAATGGTCCAGTGCTGGAGCATCTTACATTCATCCAAGCTGAGCAGTTTTTTTTTTTTTTTTGTTTTAACCTCAAAACTTTGTTACATGGTAAAAATTAACATTCTTATGTTATTACATATACATAACACTAAAGCACTTATAGAAGCTGGAACAATTGTTGAACGGCAGAAAAGGACTACTATACTTGCCTCAGTATCCACAAGGGATGTGACAAGTGAAAAAGACTGCAGCTTGCATAGCAATGGAAAGAGAGAGAGGTGCAAGATATGCCCCTGTGACATACTATGCCATATAATAAGACGATGTAAACAATTATGATCCATCAAGAGACATTCCTTGGATGCCAGTAAGGGGGCTCTTTGATCAAGAAATTGGACCTGGCCTCCCCTTGGATCAAAAATGGATGTCTTCCACTTTCCCCAGGTACTTTACGACACCTAAGGATTTAGCTCTCCCCCATGACTAATAATAAGTATACCAATTGCAGTCTTGGTTTCCCTGTTTATGGATCACTCCATATTGCTACCTGCAAATCCCTGAACTGGAATGAGGACATAAAACACATGGAGAAGCATACATGAACTTGCAAAACTATAAAGATATTGAATGTAGAATACTGTACCGTACACTCCAGTGAATATCTGTATTACAGTGACCCTTGCACATTTAGCACTCACACTGATTATAATTGGTCAGTCAGCTCTATATTTTGATATGCTTGTGATTACACTTTAAATGCATCAGGGGTGGAGCTTTGTAAAGTGTTAGCCTTTTCAGTCATTTTGTATGTATAAGGGATATAGAAAAGATGCTCTCCACAGAATTCCTTAATTAAGTATGCAGTTTCCATTATTTTTGCCATGTTTTGTATTTGCATAAAATTTGAAGAATTTTAAGATTTTGAAAATTATGGTGATATGTTAAAGACAAAACTATATGATGAAAAAGTTCTAAATTGAAATGGAAGATAGGTGTAATAAAGTATATTAATGGAGATTAACTTACCATACAGGGGAAAAACAGTAATGATGTAATATATACAAGTGCTACAACTTGAAACAAAATGATACTGCCACCTTCAAGAAATAAAAGTACACAGTGGGGATGTTGCAGTTGGAGGGTTAATCTGATAATGATGTCAGCACAGTTCTGGAAAGATGGTGTTTGGATGAATATTTGTGAATGTGTTTCCTTTTTTTTTTTGGTCATCATGCTTTGGTAGGAGATGGATATTGAGACAAAGAAAAGTATCTCTGAATGAACAACATGTCAAACCTTGAAGTGAATAAATAGGCTACAGCAGAAAAGACCACAGGGTTTCATCCTGGCAGCTAAGAACGGGAAACAGGCTACAGTGGTCACAAGCTCACCAAAACAAGACAACTGAAGATTGGAAAAAATGTCATCTGGTCTAATGAATCACAATTTCTGCTGCAACATGTAGATGGTAGTCAAGATTTCATGTAAACCTTTGGGTTGTGGAATGCGAGAGTTGCAAAGTGAATGTGCAGCCAACAAATCTGCAGCAACTGCGTGATGCTATCATGTCAACAAGAACTAAAATCTCCTAAGGAATGTTACCAGCACCTTGATGATGTCATGCCATGAAGAATTCAGCCCATTCTGGGGGCAATGGGAAACCCTACCCAGTATTAGAAGGGTGTACCTAATAAAGTGACTGCTGAGTGTATAAAATTTTCTGAAAATACCTGTAACTTAAAAATAGGCAAGTAAACAAGCTAATTATGATTAGTATTTTGAGTATAAAATTAAGTCAATCAACTAGAGAAGCTTCAGTTATAGAAAAAAAAATTGAATAAGATGTGTGATGAGAATTACAATGATAGATATGCAATCCAAGGTAAGATAGTGTAGGAAACTGAGTATGTGTAGTGTTAACATTAGTTATTGAAGGTCAAGAATATTAAGTAAGTTAGCTGGGTTAATAAATGGAAAATGCAATAAGTTAATAAACTAATTATTCCAGTAAGTAATATGAATAAATATACATAGATAATTAGGGGACATCTCCTAACTGCATATCTTGTGCAGTGCACAAGTGTACTATCTATTTCAAAACAGTGTTATCTTCACTACACAAGGTGTATGACCCATATGGATTGAGCAGTTTTTATGAATATATGTAACAATATTAGCCATTCGTGTTATATACAATATATAACAAAATTTATGTATTATTTCCATCTTTGTTTCATATCTTAGGTATAATTACTATCACAAATTCTATCCTTGCATGAACAAACTTTACTGTTCATGTCTTGTGCTGCTTGCCACCAGATACCCAATTTTTTTTTTTTAATGGCTGGGATCAAAACCTCAGTCAGTGTCATGAGGGACATGACTCACCACATGGCTAAGCTGACATTACCCCTTCCCCCCTTAAGTTAAATAGTATATGCATTTCAGACAAAAGCAATTAAGGGAAACCAATTTTCTCAGTTATGTTCTGGGAAAAAAATCCTTCAAGGAAGGTGGATGCACTGATGCCAGTGAAGGGCTCTTAACCCAAGGAAAAGGATTTTATATCAAACCTGATTACCTCTCATTCCCCAGGTGGCCCTGTTCAAGCCCTCATATGAGCATAGTACAGTCCATGTCAATTTCTCGAAATTTTATTTTACATTCATGGTAGG